GAGTTTTGATATGGATATGAAAATTGTGTTATTGTACTGTGCCTTTTTAATCTCTTAACCAGTTATATGTGTAATAGGTTTTGTCTAAAAACTTCTCTCTATTTAGCAGGCATTTTGGACAGCTGCTGTTTAATGTAGATTGGTCTTAGTATTTAAATTCATGGATACCCTAAAAAGATATTTGGGGGGTAAGATACCAAAGGACTTCCCAGAAATGAATCTTTAAAAAAGATTCTTGATTGACACCAAGACAGTGTTATTGTCTTTTTGAACAAAATGGCAAAGGTATTTCAATATACCTTTTTTGTATTTAATGAGGGAACACTGAATTAGAATTCAGATTTCCCAAGTTTTAGTTCTGAATGCTAGTATTTAATTATCATGATTTCTTTAAGCAAAGTCTGAGTTGAAACATGAGAAAAAAGAAATATGATTTAAAATTTATCTTTTTAATTTACTTATTATTTCTAAAGTACATTTACAGTAAAAGTCATTTGTATCTATCTGCTCAGTGCCGTAGCTTTAATTTGGCTATTGGTAACCCTGGAAAACCTTTGTAGCTCTGTGCTGCATACCATCTTATTAATGCCAAACACTCTAGCACTTACTGTAATGTGTGTGTGCAGCCTGTGCAGAGCCAGCATCATTAATTAACAATTGCAGCGTGTTTGTGCAGGATGCTCTTACACAAAACATAGTGAAGCAGTGCACAAATCCATGACAGTGTAACATGTTAAAGATGAACTCTTTAAGTCACTAAAACTTCTTTGAAAACACAAAAGGTATTCATTCAGTAGTATCTCCACAACATGTAATTTTCTCATGTTTCTCAGTGTTAATTTTTAACAAAATTTAGATGAAAGCTTATTAGTGTGATCAGCTCCTGCAGTTTATTCCTCTTGTATAGATACAGTTTTCTAAGGTGCTACCTCATAATCATCACCACAGAAACCACTCCTGATGTCACAAAGGATTATTACTTCTGGTGGGAAATAAGTAGTTTGAGCAGATGGATGCATAAGGAATGAAGATCTTATTATTACACAAACGATTAGAGGGTGAGAGGAAAATATATAAAGTATATATGTAGGCATAATTCTTTTAAAATAGGTTTCTAAAATTTGTGTTTGCTACTGAGAATTTCTGAGAAGAAATATGAAAAAGGTGATATTTAAACTGCAAAAGTAGAAGGTAGCATGAAAATTGTAGACTTTTAGATTGTAAAAATAGATTAGTATTAAAAAAATTAATTTTAGATAAAATTTGCTATTGCAGATTGTGGGCAATAGCATCCATCATCACGCTGCTTCCCCAAGTTTCCTCCTTAGTCATGTCAAAGATTTAAGCCTTCTAAATTCTCTTTTTTGTTGAAAGCTGGCAATGATAAAAATGATATTTAAAAAATAATGTGTTTGCTGATATTTTTATATAATGTTATTATATAACATCAGCATGAATATTAAAAAGTTCCAAATTGTGCCTATCCAGTCATATTATTACATAGGCTTGATAGTCATTTTCTACTAGCTATTTGGCTCTTTTTCCATTTTTTTTCAAATTCTAGTATCTATGTATGCATCCATTTATCTCTCTTTCTCTCTCCCCATCCTTAATTTCAACTGTTACTTTTTCCCTGTAAATGCTGTATACTCTTGATACTAAGTTAACTGTCATTGAGAGTACAGAAAAATCAACTATCAGCAAAGACCTGCTCCTGTATATTCTGGAATAGGTTAAACCTCACTCATCAGATTTAAAAATCAAATAATATGCCAGTGGTAGTGAAGAGGTGAAGCCATAGGAACTCACACCTGCTGGAGGGAATGAACACTGGCTTTGGACACCTGTTTATCATTATCTAAAAAAGTGGAAGATGTACAGATTCTATGAACCAACAGTATCATTTATGTGCTATAAATAATAGCCCAAACCTAAAAACAACCCAAGTAATAGCAAAAGGATAGACAAATAATTATGATGTGTTCACACAAGGAATATTAGACAGCATTTTAAACATCACCTTTTTCATATTTCTTCTCAGAAATTCTCAGTGGCAAATACAAATTTTAGAAACCTATTTTTAAAGAATTATGCTTATCTATTTAAAAAATATATAAAATATATTTATATATTTTCCTCTCACCCTTTAATTATTTGTATAATAATAAGACCTTCATTCCTTATGCATCCATCTGCTCAAACTACTTATTTCCCACCAGAAGTAATAATCCTTTGTGACATCTGCTTCCTGCTCTTGGCTATTGAAGAGTAATGTCTCATTAGATTTAAAGTTCTGCTCTTAGTGTGAAAAAAGATCATACTTGTACTGGAAACTACTTTTTGTGACAGGCCATCATTAAAGAATGTATGTAGCAGGGCTTAAAGAGTTGGTGGGGCTGCACTTTCTCCAGTGGTTGCATACCTCATAATTATGAAAAATAAAGGTATAAATTATATTTCTAGAGGGACAACTCAGTGTTCTTTACAAGTTAGAAGTTACTTATTATGAGAAGTGTTAAAAATGAGCCTACATTTAGAGGTATGAAAGTTTAGGATAAGGAACCTTTTAGAAATTATTTTTAAGTAAACAGTGTCATTTTACTATCATAAACATAAAGCTATAAAGAGCTACCTTTACTATGGAAAAAAAATTCATATGGACTTGTGCATTAACAGATATTCTAATATGTATTTTAAATAATTTGTAAGATGCCTTTAAAAGCTTACTGGTTTTAGTAGAGTAAAAGAACACAGCATCATTTATTTCTTTGCATCTTCAGATTATTTAAAATATTTTAATAAAATTCTCTTCAACTCAGGTCTATTGCTATATGTGCTTTGCTTTTCTTCTCAGATTCGGTAATAATGTAATTTTCAATGTACAGATTGAGTTTATGCTCAGCAGCCAACTCTTGGTAACACATAGCATTGTGGTAGACAGTCCAAACAGGGCAGGGCAGGAGGGGGGAACAGAAGAAAGAAAGGAAGCAAAGGAAGGGAAGAAAAATACTGTGGCTCTGAAACACAAATAGGTAATTTGCCTTTCAATTTTAGTTATGTTCTTATTTATTGCATTAATAGATTTGGTGAAAAAAGTTTTTGAGTAAGTTTTTATTAAATTTATTGAATTGATTTTTTGAATATTGAATAGCTGAGTGTTGACAGGAAACCAACTTAGCTTTCTAAGCATACACAATTTATATTTTAAAGGCCTGTATTTACTCAGCAGTTAGAATAAGAAACTATTTCAACTTTACAATTTAGGGATGGAATATACTATAAATGTATAGTATTGAAGGTCTGAACATTCAGATTTGTAATCCCAATATTCAGTTTTTTCTGACATCATCCGCATGCAAATTGCCAACAATTTACATTTATGTTATTGGAAAAGAAAACCCTAGAAATCAGGTTTTTAAATGAGATCTGACCAGTGTACTTGCTGGCTCATTTGACTAGCTACCTGGACTTAAGAATTTTCTGTCATCTCATTAGCTATTTAGCATAGGGTCCTTTTCTGCATCTATGTAACAGTATAAAAAAGCTAAGTGGACATGGAGCAAAACTTCAGTGAACAAAACTATTTTGTTTCATTTTAGTACGAATTTCCTTAAAATTTTTCAAAATTACGAAGCTCGTATTTATAAGGCCTTGCTATATAAGTGGTGTGTGTGGGTGTGTGTGTGTGTGTATCTATCACAAGAAATGATGTCTGTTGTTTCATTTGCTAATATGATTTGGCAACAATGATAAGGATAGGACCTTAGTTTCACTTCTTTTATTAGGAAAATGAAAATCTTTCATTACTAACTAACTGCATGGCTGTAATTCCTTTGTCAGCCATTTCTTTTACTGACCCTTTTGTTAGGCTTCTGTAGCTGCACTGTCCAGTATGGCAGCCACTAGCCAGATTTGGCTGTTGAGCAGCTGAGTGTGGCTAGTCCAAACAGACATGTAACTTGGAATTCAAAGATTGATTAAAAAGAAGGGAATGTAGAATATTTCATTAATAGTTTGTATATTGATGGTGTGTTGGGATGATCATATTTTTGTTTTATTGGGCTGAGTAAAATACATTACTAAAGTTAATTTGTTACCTTTTTAATGTTTTTAATGTGGCTACTAGTAAATTTAAATTACATATATGGCTCACATTTGTGGCTCTCATATTTCTTTTGGACAGCACTCGTACTTTTATGTAAGGAAGTCAGATTTAGAAAGATAATATTCTTTCTTTCATCTCTTTCCAGGCCTATATCTAAGGGTTAGAAAGTATTTTCAAGCTATTTATATGTTGCAGCAGTTAAATGACATCTGTTCTATGTAATGTAGATGTATATGTAACAGAAAGTATGTTTGACTATCATTAGACCACTGGTTGTGATGTTGAAGTGTATTGATGTACTCTTGAATGGAGAGGATAAGGAGAGAGAAAACACAAACTACTCAGAATTGAAAAAGAAGAACATTATGGACTATAGGAAATACCGTTAAAGAGACCCTAGTACTAATCTTTAGGAATTACACATTGTGACCAAGAATTATACTGTCCTGCAGATGCTTGTCTTTGATAATAGTTGACTTTGAAACCATTGACAGAATGATATATTTACTTGCTTCAAACTGAGAAAATTCCAATAGAATATTAGTTCCTATTTTTTTTCTCTTACACAGAGTTGTCATTTGTGAAAGAGAAGGCAAAAAATTTCATGTCATAGTCATAAACTTTAGGACACAGAGAAGTTCTTTAAGCTTCTATTTGATACCAATGAGAATAATCTTTTTTCTCCTAAAAAATGATTGTCTCTTTTCCCCATCCCACCCCCATTACCATGTTTGTTTGTTTTGTTTTGTTTTTTCCAAAAAGACATTTAATGCCCTGCTTAGATTTATTTTCTACTTACTCACTAAATAAGAAATAATTCTGTTATGTTTTGTATTGAAATTGTAAGGTACATTTCTTTTTTCTTTTATTTTTAATTTAACTCTTTGTTTTACAGATGAGGGCAGAAGTGCAGTTGACCAAGCAGGTGGTGCACAGATTGTAATTGACCATTTAAGGTCACTGTGCAGTATAACAGATCCCGCCAATGAGAAGCTCTTGACTGTCTTTTGTGGCATGCTGGTGAACTATAGCAATGAGAATGGTAAACAAAATTGAAAACTTGCTTTATCTCTGGGGGAAAAATTAAAAATCATCATTATAATAGTACAAAAAATTTGGAAAAATTATGAACAAAGCATTCATAAGTAGCATATAAAATTAGTAGTTAGCCAACATTAAATTACAATGTTTCAAAAATACAAAATGGTCTAATTTAAATGGAACTAATTGTTGAAAGATTGTCCATGTTAATACCAAAAACAAGAAACAACATAATGTTATGGTCTAAGATTTCTTGCTACGAATATTTTTAAAATAAACAATGTTAAAATATCTTATGTTTATTACTTTCTATTAATACCAGGGGCAGCTTTAAAACATAAATACTGTCTATATTATTAAAATTATTTTATCTAGATACTAGTTTTACTTGTAACAATAAAAAATTTTAATGAAATCTGGCCTTAGAAAAATAAAGTTCAAAGCAATTGCAGATACCTGATTTTAGAATTTTAATAAATACATGTAACAGAAGTTTCTTTTTTCTGTAAAACATTCTTAGAGCTCAGCAACAAATGACATGTCAATTTCAGATAGTCTATATGGTTGTTAATTAAATGAACATAAATTCATTTACTGTACTTTTAAATGTCACAAAAAATTCATCCATTTATCATCTTATATGAATTACTGAATGGTTCAAACACTCAAATTCTGGTAGGTTCCTAGAATGTAACATTAATGAGGTCTTTCTGTGGTTTGTTTCATAATGGCATTTTAAGTTATGATCTTTGACAGAGATAACTTTATTTGTATACTGAACATGTAATAGTATTGTTCATGTATTCTAGAAACACATGGCCCTTTAGGTATATTTTTATTTTTTCATGAGTCCAAAGAAATTATTCTCAATAGTTAAAAATAAGTAAATAAATATTGGTGACAAATGGCTACTGGCATTTGGCCTTGGTGTTAGTTACTGTAACAGCAGATGGTAGGGACTTTAGCCCTGCCCCATTGAAAGGGGAGAGCTGCTACTCTCCTCTAGCCAGTTGTTTCTGTGTGGCAATTTGGCCAAATACTGCCAGATCTTTAACTTTGGGGATAGGAGGAAGCTAGAAATCTAGCTTTTCATGTGACATCTGTTTTTTAAATGTTTGATTACATTTGCTTTTTTAGCACTGTAAAAGCTAGACAGAATGTGTACTCAGGTCACATCCTTTCCAAGAAATACCAGTTTTAAACCTCTGAATTAAAATTATCAGTTATAATAATAAAAAAAGTATTCTTATTTATCAAATGGCTTACCTGTTAAACTTGAGCAAATAACAAATGGTAGTTTTTATAGGATCAGTTACCTCTATTTTTCTTGCCCTCTGGTGGAATCATTTTTGAAGAGAATGTGTCCTAAATATAAATAGGAGGAACAGAAACACGGTATCTGGGTAACCTACAAAATGAATAGCTAGTTCCTAAATAATTGAAACTTGATCATGATATATGGGTATTTGAATTGCATTCAGAAATCATTGGCCAGTTGTTCATGTCACTTCCTTTCCCTTCAGCTACATTTTGGTTTGGACACCTGAGAAAGTGGGACAAGAGTTGAGTGGGAAGAAGGTTTAGAAAGATAAATGAAAGAAACTAGTCATGCAGTTACTGTAGCAGCTCTGGATATAAAAGAATTAGTCTCGTTATGCATCTAAACCATTTCTTTATCCTTTGAGGAAGCTGTTGTTCAAAAATCGGTACGAAAACATATCAAATGGCAAAATGGTCTTCAAAACCATTACTAATTCTAATCCAAAAGAGATTGTGATTGAGTCTCTATAATAGGATATCACACTGTGTAGGGAAGTGTTCTGAGAAGGTAATGTTAACAATGTGCAGAGTGCACAGTCTAAATGCATAATACATTTCTTTTGTAAGATTAGGTTTTTCCCCTGGTGTGCAAGTATTCACAAGAAATAACTTAGATACTTTGGAAAGCTTTATTAACTTTTCTCAGAACATTATTGGAGCAGTGGTCGTTTTGTTCCATTATTCTAAAAGCTGCAATTTAATACAGCTTTCAAAACTTTTTAGATAAAATAGAAGTAAAGTTATGTTTAGTATTTTAAGGAAGAAATGCCAAACTTGTAACTATCTTCTTTCCTTTGCTTCCGTTTATGTTTGTCTATCATGGGGATCATAGTTTGTGAAGTGGTTCTTTTTGTCCATGATGCTCTTTGACTTAAATTGTACCCTCTTTTGTTTTGCATAATTATTAAGTATCTTTGTTGTTGTGTCGGTTATTTACTTACTCTTTTCTTTAAAATAAGTGTTTACAGACTTTCCAACTTAATTTTAGATCTCCTTGGCTAACTTCAGATATTTGGTATTGATCCTATCCACCCAGATGAGTCACTGAAGACAAGAAAACAGCAGAGCTTTTGAAACTCAGGAGGCACTTTTTGTTAGCACTGATAAATGAAAATTCCTTTTCATGTGTATTTACTATTGAATTTCAATATACAGGTCTCTGCTAGTTTCTGAGTAGAGCAGTTGAGTGATAACTAACTCCCTGTTACTCTAGCCAAGAAATTAACTCTCCCCTTGGGCCCAGTAGCTTAAGCCTCATTCATAGTTAAGGGATTACTTTATAGCTTCATAGATAAAATTTTTTTAAATATAAAGATAAGAAAGTACTGAAAATGGTCACCAAGACTCACCAACATGGTTTCTCTAGTAAGAACTTTTGTACATTGTTTATTAGTCCTAAAAGTGGATTGACACCAGACTGAGACTAAGGATACCTTGATTCCTGTCCATATAATGGAAAACTCTGAGCATATCCAATTTTGAATCCATTAAATAAGAAATCTGGTTTCCTAAACAGAAGCAAGACAGGTATATAATGAAAACACTTACTCAGTAAAGGCATATTTCTATCCTTTGATAAAACTATATAAAACTCAAGGTTCATGAGTTTTGAAATTTTAAAACCAGCTCAGAATTTTTAAGCTGTGAGCCGGGTATATTCTTTTGTTTCCCCATTGGTAAAGCAATTAAAACTTTTTACACTCAGACAAGTAAGAGTGGAATATTTGAATAGAAAAAGTTATAATTGCTTAACTAGAGAAGTTGTATCAATTATATTGCTAAATAAAATCATGTTTAAATAGAATAAGATAAAACTTTTTGTTTAGTAAAGGTCATTGCATATTTATCCTTTTGGGGAAAATCATACCTGTTTTTCCCATGGGAAAAGAGAACTCTTCAGTTCTGTGGCCCTCCAAAATAGTCCAAGTATTTGACAGTTGTGGTTAGAGAAAAGTGTGTTGACAGTTTGACATTCAGTTTGAGGAAATGTGAAGTTCCTGTATTTTTTTTATGTAGTTACTACTTTAAAGTTTTAGTTATTCTGTAAACAAGGAACTCAAACATTACTGTAGATGTTTTTATCTCATTAGTTTCTTGGGTATTCTTTTTCCTAGCTTTGGTTACCCAGTGCCAAAACATTGCAGTGAAGACTGAAAATTTTGTTCAGATATTCAACTGTTTTCAAATATAACACCATTTTAGCATATAATAGGAGTTTGGAAAATATTAATTGATTGACTTTTCTGGATGCTTAGTATTGTCTAAGAATGTTTTATTAACAAAATCTATACTTGGAAGAAAAATATGTTCCTGGAATGCATTTTCTTCATTAAACAAGTTAGAAGCATTATAAACTCTTGCCCTCTGTATTAGTTTATATTTGCTGTTCACATACATGGTGATAGGAGAAAGTGGTATTGAAAACACAATGATAGTAATAGTACCAAATCTGTGGTTAAAAATTTACCATAGGTAATCTACAGACTTGATAAATCTGTGTATGTATACTTGTAAGTTGATTGCAGTTTGAATAGAAACAAACCAGTAATCTAAAGTAAAGCACTGGAATAATTTAATACCTTGTTGAGGAATCTATTGATGGTCACCATTTTTACTATATTATAAGTAACCATGATTAATCAGTATGTATCTCCTGGAAAACTCTGTAATTGAGAGTTTAATTCTTTCTTAATATACCTGTGCTAGAAGCAGAAAATACAGGGGAAAATCTATTATAATGCTAAAGAAAATTATTAATGAATGATGATAAGCATTAAAGCAGGCTAAAATTACTTGTTTTACGTAAGCTATGCCATGAGGGGAAAAAGTGAAGGAAACAGAAATGCCATCAGGAAAGGAAAAATTCATTTCCTTCTAAAATAACTAATGTAATATACACAGTCTATGGCTGGTTTCTTCATGTGACCTATGTAATATATACATATATTTGTATATGTATATATGATTTTTATAAATAGAGCTGATTCTTCTGTGATATTTTAATACCTCCTTGTTATTGAAAGACTAATTTCTCTCTTTTTTGTGGTTCCTGAAATCTCTCTGGGATACTCTCATGATAATTCTTACCTTTGTGGCCTCATGGACCTATGCTAACTAAACTATGGTTGAAGGAAGTCCATCTGTGCTACTTAGGAAGTGCAACACACAGAGCATGTTATTGGAGCATAACAATTGAATTTAAGTATTAAGCCAAGTACTTAAATTCAGTTGTTTAAAAAAAGCCTGTAAAATATTTTCTCTAATTTAAAGGTCACTTAGTATGCAATTCGTTTTAGCTGCTACTTTCATTTCAACCATGGCAACAGTTTCACAATTCTCATAATACTGTTCATTTTCCCAGCTAACTCAGCCCAATGACTTGGCTTACTTGAATTTTCTTTATACTTAAAATAGGAATAGTAGAAATTAATAAGGAAGAATCCTGATTAAAAACTAAAAAAGCATTTTGGCCTGAGCTACTTGTTTATGTGTTGGCATTACTTTATTATAGGTAAGGAAAAAATACTTCCTAGATGTGGAATGTGTAGAAAATGATTAGGTTTGCATGAGTGAAGAACTATTTCCAAAGTTGACTTACTCTGAGTATAAGCTAATTAATAATTCCATATATTTCCTAAATACTAAAAGCTTTTCCCGTAACTTTAGGGGAGAAAACAAAAC